CCAAAATTATAACCTTTGTTAAAAGCCTGTTTTACCCAGAGCCTAATTGTTGGGCCTGAAGTTCATGGCTTTTTTTTTTTTTTTTTTTTTTTTTTGGTGAAGTGGAATCTCTTTGTGTTGGGATGGCTGAGGGTGACGGGCCGATGGTTCAGGAAGGATGCTCCTCTCAAGGATGCTCCTCTCATGTGGCAGCTCTGGAAGCTCTGCTGCTGGAGTTGGGCTGCCTGCTCTGCTCCCATCAGATAGGCTGCTTCCCTCCTCCCGCACCGCTCGTGCCAGATGGTCCCAGGTCCGCTCTGGGAGTTCCTCTTAGCCTGCCTATCCTTCTTTTTCACTTTTTATCTTTCCAAAGCATTTCAGTTCCTGACGAGACTGTGTTTTAGCAGCACTGCAGTCTGGGGGAAGGGCAGCTCACACAGGAGTCCAGAATGCAACCTGCTCCTTGTGAAATACAAGTGGGCCACAAGGCTTTACTGGTGGTGTGTTGCGTGTTGTTAGTGCAGAGCAGCTGCAGATAACTGAGAGGAGTAAAGGCCAAATCATCCATTTTTAGGGGTTCAGAGCGTTACAGCTCCAAAGGCATTCTGGACATTTTACTGCAATTTGGATGGTGTAGAAGTTGCTGCTGGAGGAGTGCGTTGGAAGGGAAAGGATGAATGGGTTTGCTTTGGGCAGGTGTGTTGCTTTGTCATTAACAAAGGCATTTCCTGAGCTGGCAGACTCAGGGCAGGCACCAAGACAGGTGGAAAGATTTTGTCCAAGGGGGGACGCTCCCAGCAGTCACAGCAGATGAGGAGTTGTCTGTATGGAGGGTGGGAAAAGGCTTTTGGAGCAAGGCAGGAAGGTTGGGGCTGGCAGAGGTGGACGGCCAAGGTGCACCTGTGCTGCTGTTTGAGTGCCTCAGCATCTGCACGGGTGCTGGGGGTGGGGGTGGCACTTGGAGAAGCCCACAGATCCCAGTGGCAGAGCCTCTGGCAGAGCCTTTGCCACGGGGAGCTGAGGGGTGTCGGGCAGCTGGTCCCAGGGGATCACGGGGTAGCTGGGGTAGCTCTGCTAGTCCCACCTCTGCAGTTCTGTGTCTGAAGCCAGATGAGAGGTTGTGTGTTTTGGGAAAGTTGGAGCATGCCATTCCTATCTCTATAAAAGTAATAACCAGCTCTGTAGCCCGTTTGAGGCAAAATATCACAGAAGAGAGAGAGTAGAAGTCACACAGCGAGGAATGAGACATGCTTTCATGGAAAAACGTCAGCTGGAGATTAAGTGAGAAAAGATAAAGATATAGGATTTCTGGCCCTGCTATCTGTCTTTTGAATGTTGACTGATTAAAACAAGGCAGAGTGAATGGCTGGATATCCCCAAACAATGTTTCACTGTCCCTCTGCAGATCGATACTGCTGGTGCTCCTTCTCCTGGAGAGGGGACCTGGTCGGGAGCCTTTTGCTCTGGATGGCACCGTGGCCAGCCAAGATGGAGCCCTGTAGATTTTGGCTGTGTGTGGGTGTTGTCTCGTTTTGGGTGACCAGGACTCTGTGCTGGATGTCCCCAGGGCCGTGGCAGTGTCTGCAGTAGCTCTGCAGCCCATGTCGGGCGGGTGGTTCTGCAGCGAAGTTCTGTTCCTGTGTGACGTAGCTTGGGTTTGTCGTGGAGCACAGGACCTGATCTGGTTTGGGTTTAACTGATGCAAAAGAGAAGATCTACCAGTGGGTGTAAATTCATCAGACCAAGTTAGAGATTAAAATATCCAAAACACAGATAATGTGACTGTCCAGTCCTGTGCGGGGACTGCTTTGCTCTGGCTGTGCTGACGGCTCTGAAGACATGGCCCCAGGTAAAACGGGAGACTGCCTGGGTGGATGGCCTGGCCACTTCTGCACTTTGTCTTGAGCCTTAGGTTCATGACATGATCCTTTCTGCATCAGCCATCAGCTGGGAGAGCACTTGGTTTGAGTGGGAATTTGCTGGATCTCCCCAGCAGGGAATTCTGTCTTAACTCAGATGATTCCTTGGCTTTTCTGGTCATCGGTTGGTTTGCTGTTCATCCTGATGTTAGCTTTGCAAAAATAAACATCTTAGCCCTTTCTGAGTCTTAGGCCACGTAGCAGACTGAAGTGCAAAGAGGACTGGCTGCAACACCAGCTGTGGGAGTTTGTGCTGAGCCTCCTGGGCTGTGGTGCTGAAGCATTTTTTTCTTGAAACACTATCTTGAAATATGCAGGAGGCCAAGAAAAAAAAAGCTTCATTCTTTCTGTCAGAGATCTGAGAGGTGAGAGATGTGAATTTACTTCTGCAGCGAGAAAGGATGGCTAGCAAGACCTTGGAGGGAGGTGGCTGTTGTGGGACCTGTCCTCTGTGTGCCACGGGGATGGCAAGTGCATGTGTTGGAGAGACTTAGACAGCTTTTCTGGGAAAAACCTCCTTATGTTGAAATGTCATCCCAGGCATGATGTTGATTTCTATAGAGAGTTGCTTGTAAAGGTGGCTTGCACGTTGCATCTGAAGCCCTGTGACCACGTTGACCCCAGTGGGTTTGGATTTGATACTGGACATGGTGCAGAGACTGTGCGACAGCCCCAGTGAGTGAACATCTTGGCGCAAGAGATCACGTGTCACTGATGCACCTCAGGGTGCAGAGGTGGCACTGTCATTCTTGCAGGAAGGTCTGGGAGCTGAGCCTGGGCTCTCAGACATCATCATCATCCCCCTGGACCGATGCAGGGCCCAGCAGTGGCACAGGGGCTCTGCTGTGGGGTGACCCCCACGGGCATGGTTTGAGCTCCTCTGTGGCACCACTGTGCTCATGTGGCCGGTGCTGAGAGGAGGATCTGTATCATACGTGCCTGGGTAGTTTCTGTTGCTGGGAGCTGAGGGTCAGTAAATGAGCAGGGGTGGTTTTTCCATTGCTGGTGAATGTCTTGGATGTGCCACTCGGGCCCAAACCACTGGCTGCCCATCGTGTCTGCGGTGCCCTCCAGCTGGGATATTAGAGATTTGGCAGGTTTTGCTCTCACTCTGGGTAGAAAGGCAGGACAGTGGTTGTGCATCGGGCAGGACCTGTCTGTTAGGACACTGGGGAGCAGCACTGCCATTTAAGGGTGTCTCTCTCCCCTGGGCTGGGCTTGCTCTAGCGTCTCCCTGGGGAATATGTTTTATTTCTCTGTGCTCCATCCCAGTTGCACAGCAGTGCAGTGCAGGCTGATGGCTTTGTTGCCCGCAGTCTCCTGAGATTTGGGACCTGCCTGCGCTTGCCTTTTGCTCAGGCACTCCATATGGGCAGAGGAGCTGAGACCAGCAGCTCCTGGGGGGTGAGTCTGCACTGGCACATCGGCATCAGCCCATCCAGGCTCCTCAGAACTAATGTGAGGGTCGAGAGGTGAGCACTGGGGTTTCAGGGACCAGCTCCTCTCTCTGTGTCAGTCCAGCAGAAGCAGGTCCACCTGTCTCACTTTTGGGCGAGCTGATCTGTCAGTATTTCAAGAAATGCCAGGGCTAGGAATCATGGAGAAAGGATTTTGTGAAATCTGGTATTTAAACCTCCCACTCGAGTGATGCTGAGGAGAGCTGGCAACGTAGCATTGGCTTATCAGGAGCTGTGTGGGCAGGTCAGCTTAAGAATAATGTTGTGTGAGCAGCACCAGAGGTGAAGGAAAGAAGCCAGTGTCTGGTCAGGTACAGAGTTTAAATGGGGTCAGAATTTCCTTTTATTAAAAAGATTGTTTTATTTAAATAATAAATGACAGTAGGATCACCGTTGCCAGGGGCTGCTGAAGGGCAACCAGGCAGGTCTGAGCAAAGTAGGGACTAGAGGCTTTGAATTATTTTCTCTCATTAATAACTCTGAACTAAGCACTGCAAATTCATGCAAAAGTCATCTCTGCTTTCATGCATGCAAACAGTTTGGTTTGTGGATAGGTCTGCTGTGTTCAGAGGCTCATTCCATCTTTTAAAAAAAAAAAAATTGGCTTCTGAGCTGCACCTGTCAATAAAAGTCCTGGAAAATGAGTCCTGGCAGGCTTTTCCAAGGCCGTATGTAACTTATCTTGTCCAATGAAAGTCTCTAATTGGTGGTTTAAAGTAATTAAAAAAAAGAATCCGTTAACGGTCAGTCTATTTTTAGTTTAAAGGTTGGACTTTATATGGTCATAAAGCAAAATTCTTTGCTTAATTATGGGAATTGAAATACATTGGCTTAATTGCACTAGGAACTGCACACAAGAGTGCAGAGAGGACACGCTTTACCAGTGATTATCTGCCGATAAAATACTACACAGAGCAACAAGTGGAGGCTCTCCAGGCTCCAGAAAGCATCCTGAGGCCAGAACTGCTGAGCTGGTGGGGAAGAGATGGCATCAAATCCTCTGCAGATGGTCAGGGTCCATTCCCACCATGGCACTGGCTGCCTTGCCTTGTATCTGTGGAGACTTGGAACTGGACGGGATTAAAGGGGCGATTTATGACTAAAGGCTTGGTTGAGGAGTTGGTTTGTGTTCTGGAGATGCCTCCAGAAGCTGGGCAAGCAGCTGGGGGAGGTTTGAATGGCAGAGGATTTTGTGGTGGGACATACAGGCTCCTGATGATGAGGAGGTCCATCTGCTCATTTGCCTCTTGAGTGGATAAGTCCTGGAAGGTGTCAGAGTGTTTGGGGCAAGCCTGGGGCTGTCGTTCCTGAAGCTGAGTTACCTGGGAAGCTAAATTTGGGAGCCTGGGAAGAAGATAGAATTTCGGACATGGCAGTACCTCTTCCTGAAGTCTCAGGGTGTGCCTGGGAAAAGGATGTGATGAGCAGGTGAAGTGAAGAGCCACAACTTCACAGCATGTGCTGGTTTTCACTTCAGCCAAGGTGTCCCTTGACTGGTGGCATGGGAAGTGGGCAGGGTTTTGGGAGGATGGACTGAACACAGCGCTGGTGGGAGGCTGATTCTGTCGGGGCTGTTCTGTGTGGGGTATGTGGAGGTTGAGGGCAGAGTTGTGTGCACAGGAGGGACAACCAGCTGCCAGGCTGTGGGCTGGACTAAGGGATGGGCACGTCTGTGTGGAAACATGAGACAAAAATAGTTGTTGTAGACTGCTCGGTGGGGAAAAAAAGATCTTGGCACGGCTTGTCTGATTGAAACATGGTGGGGGTGATAAAAATCAATAAGATACTGCATTACCTGCCATCACACTGTACTGAGCAGGTGTGCTGGGCCATAAGGGAAGAACACTACACTAAAATTTGCTGTAAAATCTGAGAGGAAATTGGAGTAGTGGCGACCAAACAGCCGCATGTATGTTGGATATAAATTCTGTATTTTAATGACACAGAGGTATTAGGAAGTTTTCTATTCCAGACAAGAAGGAAGTTGTGGATTTCATGGGGCTTGGAAGAAAACTAAGGCTCATGCATCTTCATAAACCTGTAAGAAAAAGTAAATTCCATTATGACCATGCTATCACAGATTGTTTGGGAAGGAGCTGGCTAGCATTTTGGTGAGCAAGCATCTCAATTTACTTAAAGGATCATGTCTTGTAACAGCCTGGTCTACAGTAAGCCTTGCTTTAGGACTAAGACATCAGAACTGGTTCAAGATACAATTACTGTTGAGTTGTTAAGTAGCAGGGACCACAGTACAGGTTCAGTATCCTCAGGAGTAGAAGGTGGTGGACTAAAAAAAATTACTTGCGTTACAAAATATTGCAGGGGAGAAAATCAGAAAATAACGTCCTTGGACTTGTCAAGGCAGCTCTGTAGATACCTGGAAAGGTTACAGGCATCCAGGTGAGACAGAACTCTGTCATGAAGGAGCAAAGTAAAACAGTTGTTAAAAATATTTATAAGAAAGGGACTAAGGACAGAAGTCCAGGTCTTGAGGAACAGACTGAAAGAGCCATGGAGTAGGGCAGCTAACCATGATCTGGAAATAAAGCAGTTTTGAAGGGGCCCTGCAGAGCAGGGGACCTGGAGGAGTGAATCCTGTCTGAAGGACATCAGAGAGAGGGCTGGGGAGAAAATCTGGGCGTGCAGGACTGAAGACACAGTTCATTTCCTGCACTAGTTCGTGCTGCTGAAGTGACTTCCCCATGTCATTCAGGAGCAAGTTTGAGGGCCTGCCCTCACCCCGTCCCTCCGAAACTCAAGTGTTTGAGGTAGAGATGCTGGAGCAAAGTAGGAAATTCAAGTGGAAGAGCAACAGGTTTTAAAAGAGCTTGGGAATGAAACACCAAAGGTACTAGCAAAAATAGGGCTGTTAAAAAACAGCTTAGTATTCTCCATGACTAGATAACATTCTAATGTTGGCTTATTGTTTTTTTTTTAATTAAAGTATTAATGGGGGCACTGGGAATTACAGATCAGCCCCCCCGAACTCTGGTTTGAGAAGGAGAAGCTGAAACGCTGTAACTCTTCAGTGAGTGAGAGGGGGAAAGCAACACACTTTCTGCAAAGAAAGGGGTTGGACCAGGTGGTCTTTGAGGGTCCCTTCCAACCAAACCATTCTTTGATTCTGTGATCAATCTCGTTTTCTGGGCCATCTACCAGAATCTTTGGACACACTGACAAATAGCAGGAGGTGAAGAATGAACTGATCTTTATTTGAGTGTTTTAAAAGGTTTTTATCAAGTGCTTCCAAGAAGGCATTAAAAAATGTGCTTTTAATGAAAAGAGAAATATCACAGAGTCCTTCTTTGGTTGCAGTTGATGTTGATCAATTGTCTAGTCTGGTTGGAGAAGGTGATCAAAGGCCTCCAAGTCTGCATCTTCAGCCTCTGAGCAAATGAGTTTCCTTCCATGGTTTCATTAAACCCAAAGTTGCTGGGTGGTGGATGGTTGATTTTCATTAAACTTTTCTGGTGGACACAACTAGGTCCAGGCTGCAACGTCTGGTTGGGCAAAGGGGAGAAACAAGCCCAGAATACTGGGTAGCATGGGATCTGGATTTGTCCTGTAATGCAACACCCCCAGTTCAAATTCCTGCCCTGAGCTGGACTTGCAGGTCTGCCAGATCCCAGAGCGTGCCTCAGCAGCTGATGTTGTGGGTATGTTCTGTTTAGTTCTGTTTTGACCAAGAAAAATCCTAAAAGGTTTTGGTTTTGATGATGGGCAGAAAGGGAAGCAGCAGGGAGAGAGGCCTGGACAGCATCTTCCAGGTCTTTTCCTTGCAGGAGAGTTGTTGGTGTGTGTTCTCATGCAGACCTGTGTTGCCTCCCTTCCCAAGAGACCCCAGAGGACCCACAGGTAGCTGGTCTCAGCCAGAGCCACCTTTTGTTGCTCTGGCTTAATTTTAGTCTTCTTGAAAGTCTAGAAGCCATGACAGATACCCTGGCTTCTCCCACCTTCCCTGTCTCCAGTAGATCACGGTACCAGAGAGTGAGTGCTTTGATAAGTTGTTGGAGTTTGCAACAGGAGCAGGTTTACTGCAGGTACCACGAGGCTTTTGGTCAGAGTTCATGTTTAAAGACAAGAACTGGCAGCTGATGGAGCAGAATGGTTGGGTTATATTGGAGAAGTGACTCCAGCCTGGCCACGGCTGGAAAATTAAGAAGAGCACGATAATGTCTGGCTGTGCTGTGAGCATACAGCAGTGGGGCTGATCCTGGGAAAGGGGGGGGGAAAAGCAATTTTTAATGCTCCACCAGTATTGCTAGGCCGTAAGTGAGCTGCAAAATTGAAGAATATCACACTCTGTTAGCAGAGCAAATGAAGTGAAGGTGTGTAGCCTGCCACAGGAATCCTGCCTATCCCAGGTCTGTGAGGCTGCTGAGCTGAGCCTGTACCACAGCTCATTAGACCCCCACGGTGTCCCTGTGCTGTTCTCCCTGGTCATCTCGGGTGGTTGTCACCGGCACAACCTTTGTCCCTACTCTCTAGAAATTCCTTAGATTGCTCACTTCTAGTTAAATTATACCAGCTGACTTTGAAGTACTCAATATAAAACTGTCGTGGTATCGCTTGCATGATAGTTATTTGATGTAAGAAAACAATTTCTCGTGCTCTCTCTTTAGGAATTTGGGCTTCGAGTTTTCAGTGGGGAGTGTTGTACGTGCCCAACTGCACAGGGTCGGGCCCATCTCTGTTTTAAAGCGTTATTTCACATCTGAGATTAGAAAACAAACCAGAAGATCAAGTTGTCACAGGCTCAGATGATCATAGTGACTCGTGCTAAAGGCTCCGTCCTCGTAGAGACCTGCACGGCTGCTTTGTGTAACTGCTGTCAGAGCTCTGGCGTTTTGGTGATAGTGTTCCCTCCTAAATGTTCTGAGTATACTCGCCTTTAAATCCTGTTAGGTACCGATAATTATCTGTTGGTATTCTGTACATTAGCTCTGTACTAGCATTCACGTTGGACTAGGCTTAATATCGTGAGTGTCAAAGATGACTTGAAAAAGGAAAACTTAATTTATACCCTTTCCCTGTGGTTCTACCCCGTGTAGCGGGCGGTTTGTAGAAATACCAGGAGTGCTACAACTGTCTTCCCCCTTTTACTTGCTGTGATTCTCTGCAGGAGAAAATACAGATTTAAATCTATTTTTCCATTCTTTGGAGACGCTGAGATATTATCATGGTGAGGTCCGTGGAAATACCCAGACAAACTGGGCCATCATGCAGAGATAAGGCATCTTTTCCATTTGTTTTTTTTTTTTTCTGCTGTCCATTCTCCAACCTTTTTTTTTTTTTTTTAAATGTAAAACAGTTATTCTCTCATCTGTCCAGTGCAACATCCTCTAGGATATTTGTGGTCTTCCAGAAAAGGTAGACAGGACTGGAATAACTAATGCCAAAAAATTGCCCACGGCAAGGGAGGGAAATCCTTGTTTTCAAGACAAAACCCTATCCAGGCCTTTTTCAGACACCCCTCAGCACACCACAAGGGTATAAATCCCGACTTTTTCTTTTCCAGGTGATCTTTGAGGCCAAGTAGCAGAGGGCAGGGGTTTGCCCTCCCGGCGGGGCTCAGCCCCGGCACAGCCGGGGTTCCGCAGGTCCAAGCCCCCGGCACCAAGCTGGTGAGCTCCATGGGGTTGGCTTTCACCATGTCCTCAATTTGGATCCCCAGGGCAGAAAAATTAGGACTTTCTCAGTTAAAGAAAAAGCCAAAAGTGAAACAAAATCTCTGGAGAGTTGTGTTTCCCCACAGCAGCGACGGCCCCTCAGCACCCGCTTCTGTTCAGCCAGGACCCTCGGGTCAGTCCTGCTGGGTTTTTAGCCATCTTGACCTCATGTTTGCAAATATTATTGGTAATATAATGCTCTATGTACAAATGTCTGTGTGGCTCATGTGTATGTTTCTGTGGTTCAAGTCAGCCACAGACTTCTGGAATTTCATTGTACTTTGGTTAAATGTTGGACTTTTAACTCTTCTACTGTATGGCTTCTTGATTTCTCTTGTCCAATGTGGACCAACTCTATTTTTGGAAATAAATAAGCATGTAAATAAAATGAATGGGTTTATGCCACTTACAAGAAAATGCTTTATTTAAAATATACACTCAGTCTTGTATATTTTATGGTATCTCGGGGAGCAGTGCAGGCTCAGGCCCCAGCAGCCTTAGTGCTGAGATACCATATTATGTACAAATTCACTTCCAAGTGCTTTTGGAAGAAGATTTCCCATCTCCTGAACCAAACCCCCGTAGGACCAGCCTGGCGGAGGAGGGAGGGGGGAATCCAGAAACACGTAGTTTAAGGGGAGTAAAGGAAAGAAACAGGACTTTCCTCTCAACACAAGGCTTCTGGTTTGAGGTGTCCGGGTGCCAGGGATGCCATGGGGCGGTTCTGGGCTCCTGCCTGGGAGCACGTGGAGATCAGGAGCACGATGACATCTTTTTTTATTTTTTTATTTTTTATTTTTTTTAAAAAGAACTTCTCCATATAAACCAATATTTACCAGTAATCCTGTGTTTCTGTTTTTGTTTTTTGGCAGACTTTTACCAGTAAATATCGGTTTATTCCTGAAACCAGAAGCCCTAAACATACCTTTGTTTATAAGGTCAGTTGGCATTTTGTCTCTCTCGTTCCCCACTCCTCCCCCAGTACAACCCAGCAGGTGATTGAAAGGTACCGAGTTCTCTTTCTAGTTTTCCTGCTCTGCATCTCTGGGAACTGGAGCCCGCAGGACCTAGAGCCTTCTGTTGGTAACGTAGACCCGAGTTTACAAATTATTCTTTTACCATTTTAAATCCTGCTTTTAAGGACAGAGGTGTTCCCTCCTGCCCACCACGGGAAGTGGTAGAAACCCGTGCAAATGCCCAAATTGCTCCTCCTCTCCGAAGCCTGCGGGTAGGTCTCTCACAAGCATCTTCAGGCTTGGGGCTGAGAAAATAATTTGATCCCAAAATATACACTAAAAACTGCCATTTCTGGTTTACAGTGAGCAGGACTGGGGGAGGGAAGGGCGGGAAAGGAGTTTGGAAATTATTTCCCCCCCCCCCTTTTTTTTTCTTCTGGAAAGCAAACGTGACACGGGGAGGAGGGAAAGGATGTGAACATGGCCCTTCCTAAACTCATTGTAAACTCTTCCTCCAAGGCTGGGAGAAAGGGCAGGTGAAAGTTCTCATCCTTAAAAGGACATTGCTGGGTGTCTGGGACCCCAAAAGCAGCTGGTGATTTGTAAGGGTGGGAATCACTTTTGGTTTATCCCAAGACAAATAGACTTGGGAGTGAGTATTGAAGCTTCTTTCCCCACAAGTGTTTGCCACCCCCAACACAGCAGCATTTTGCTAATACACCAGAAACAGAGAAGCTGGTGAGGGATAGAAAATGAATTGACTGCATGGTCCCAGCCAATTTTTTTTCTCCCAGGCAAACAAAATGGGAAAAAAAAAAACCACAAACCAAAAACAAACAAAAAAACCCACCAAACCCATCCCTGACCCCACAAAAAGGTAACCTCCCAAAAAAGCAAGTCAAGAGGGTCTCAAACATCCAGGTTTTATAGTGTGTGGTTGTCAGGGGTGTTTTTGGCATAGCTGCAGCCCAACCATGTCCCTTTAAGGAGCACCGTGGCTCGTTTCCTCCTCATGAAGCCCAAGCTGAGGGTTGTGCCGTTCCTGAAGCTCCTGCAGCCTTAGGTGGAGTCCAGAATGAGGGGAGCCCTTCCAGCTGTGCACTTTGAGCTGAAAACTACCTTTCCTCCCCTTTTGCAGCCTGGGTGGTTCTGATTGCTGGCAGTTCTGTAATACAACCTTAATCTGAGCAGTTGAGGCTGGTCCTACCTTATCTTCAGACGTCTTGCGGAGGACTCCTGTTACCAGTTTGGTACTCAAAAGCTACACCCCACCATCAGAAGTCACTTTTTGTTTTTTTCCAAAGGCAGTGATAGCTCACCCTCTCTAGCTCTAATGGAAAACATGATAATTGCAATGCAACTTTCTAATAAATTGTTCATATATTCATAATTCCGTTGCAATCCCAAATTGGAGAAGAGATCTGTTAAAGGTATATATTAGTCTAGATTTTTCTTATTGTAAATACTGTAATTTTATAATACTGTCAATATTTTATTAACTTAGAAATATTTAACAGAGTTTAATCTATGGTAGTTGATTTATTTATAGGTTTATGTTGCAGCCAATTGCATTCTAATGTAAGATTAACTTTCAGCATGTAAACATCGAGTGAATATATCATTGGAAAGATTAACAGAGAAAACTCTCGCTCTTAATCTGTAATATTTATCCCCAGTTCCCAGTTGGGAATTATTTCATGAAATATTAGGAGGTTTTGAGAGCTCATGAACCTAAAAACTGCAGTTGGATTTGAAAACTTGGATTTTGAGATGTACTTGGCTCTTCCACCCTGTGAACAAGTTCACTTCAGTACCTACTCTCTCTGGCACGGAAGTCTTTATTTTGAGCAAAGGGACACTGTCAGATCATTTTTAGATTCTTGGGTTGTTGTGGGGTTTTTTTTTGGGGGGGGAAGCAAAACGCAGCCCCAGTGCGTGTGTGTTAATTCCGTTTGGATCACAAGGGGAACAGCTCCTCTCCTGAGGCTCTGGGTCCCTGGCCGGAGCATTCCCGCAGCTGGGAACGCCGCATCCTTCATCCCTGCGGCCGGGCAGGGGTGGAGCTCCGGCCGCTCCGAGGGGTCTCCGCAGTCCGGGTGTTCCCACAATCCCGCCGTTCCCGGCACCGGCCGCCGTCGGCACATGGGCAAAACTGCACAAAGACTAAAACCTGACAGTTTTTGACCAAAGTTTTTGCTTTTTTAAAAATTTTAAGTCTCTCTCTCTCTTTTCTCCTGATGGTGTCCCTTTAGCATCATAAAGATGTTCTCTGAGAACCATGAGAAGCGATTTGCTTTCCAAGGCAGGGGAGAATTGGTCTGTCATGTGTTTGCAACGCAACTTGCCTAAAAATACCAAAAATATCTCGAGGGTTTTCACAGGCGTTGGTATTTTTTTGGAGTGTAAAAGTTAATCTTGATTAGAGATGTGCCAATCTATACTGCTTTCCTGTAGTGTTGTTACACTTAGGCATTTCAGTTCACTTACGAATATATACTGTAACAGTATACTTTGTACAGATTTATTTAAAAAAAAATTTATTTGAAAACTGAAATAAAGTAGGCAGAAAATAAAGATATTTATTTTTCATTTGACTATGTAAGAAGGTATCATTCTTTTGGTTTTAGTGCACTGGTGTACCAAGGCTCAGAACCACTGCTTTCTCCAGCTCATAGGATGCTTTTCCAGACTGTGGATACGTGTATGTGTACTGCTGTGTTGATAAGTAAAAACCAACGATGGAGTTCGTTGCTTTTATACATCCCAAAGAGAAGTTCTCCACCGTTCCCTGTCTGTTTTCTGACCGAAAAGGCGTGTTTGTGAACAGTGTTCACGCGAGCTCTGCCATCCCACCCTCACATCAGCTCACACCAATGCCAGGATGGGAGGAGTTGCCAGCGGACCTTCCCCAAAAACACCCCGGGCCCGCAGTGGCATCGTCAGGGAGCAGTTCAAACCTGTGTCCTTTGGGCTTTGTGTAAAGCAAACGCAGAACGAGAAAAATCGAGATGTTAAATCCATTAGAAAACCAATTCCTTATTGTACAGTAGTATGGAGATCTCTAGTCAACCTGCCATTAATAATAGATTCTTATTTTTTGAATGATCTATTTAAAAGAACAGCAAGCATTGTATTTGCTAGTAAATCTGAAGTGTTTACATGGAATTACTAAATAAATTATTTGATCTAAGATGGCTCTCATCAGTGCTGATTTCTAATAATGGAAATTCATTTCGGCAGCTGCTTTTTTAGTTCGTGCTGTTCTTTAAAATCTTCCAAAGCAGGTTTGTTTTTTTTTTTTTTTCACTGCATCCTTGTGGTTCCAGTTAGGTTCTGAGGAAGAGGCAGAGCCTGACAGGAGTGCTAGCTCATGTTTTCCAACCCCTTCCATGAGGCTGCCCCTTCACATCCCAAACAGCTGAGGTGGAGCAGGATGCTCTGAGCCCCAAGCCCTGCTGCTCACCTGTGGTTCTTTCCAGGCTGAGTCCTGGTGCATGGAGAGAGAGGAATTGTTTTAGCAGAAAGCATTGGGATAGAAGTAAAACATCATCCTGCAAGGTAACGAGTTCCTGAGCTCAGTTCCAGCGGGGCTCGGTCCTGCTTTCTGCTGTTCCAAGGCTCCAGGAACACCCTGTGCTCCTGTCCCTGTTCCCCTGCTCAAGGCCCATAGATCCAGGGAGGCTAAAGCAGATTAGGCCTTTGGATCATCAGCAAGGCCAAAGGCAAATTCGGGGGCTTCCAGCCCTTCCAAGCCCCAAGAGCTGCTCTCTGAGGTGAGAGCTGTGCAGCCCCCAGAGCTCCCTGGTGCTCCAGGGCTGGAGGTTGGGGTAGGGAATGCCCAGGGTGGAGGGGCTGCGGCTGGAGAGCGGCGGGAGCGAGAGGCTGGGTGCAGAAATCCCTGCACCAGGAGCAGCAGGAAGAGCCAGGCAGGCGCTGCAAATGCCGAGTCTGGCCACACCGTGTCCCCCTCCAAGCGCCGCACACGCAGCGTTCCCTGTCAGGCGTTCGGGACTGGGGAAAACGAAACTCTCAATAATGCACCTGTCCCCGCACTCCCCGATCCCAGCCTGGCTCGCACACGCGCTGAGTCACCCCATGCTTCATTCAGTGCTCCCAGCGCCAGAGCCCTGGCTACAAACGCATCCAAGGCTTGCATTATGCACTAGCAGAAATTTTTGTCGGACGCGGATTTCACGCTTCATGTTCAGGGCAGGATTCCCGTCCCGTCCCGCCCTCGCTCCGCCGGCTGGGGAGGGGCGAGCCCAGACCCTGCTCCACACACATGGACAGCGAGTCGTCCGGCCTCCAACTCCCCTTTCCCGCTCCTCCAAACCCTTGATGGTTTGGACAGGTCCGAGATGTCCATCCCTGGGCCTCGTGGCACAGCCCCAGGTCTCCCCGAGCCTCCCACCCCGGGAGCTCGCCCGTCACACCACACTGTTCCACTGGAAATCATTCAGCTCTCACTTATTCCTCTGCACAGCGTTTTTACACAGGTCTCTTTCTCCTGTGTGAGCTGGCCCATGCTCATGAGCAGTACATTCCTAGAAATTTGCTTTCTGGTTTGGGGGAAATTGAGCACAAGGTTAAAATGGCTCCATTTGTCAGAGTAACATCAGGAAACCTATCTGGGCCAGATGCTTCTCGAAGTTGATACCCCCCAGCCCTGGCTAATGGTTGGTGCTTCAGAAGATGCTGGAAACAGCTGCTCTGCACCTTGCCAATCCATGCATGGCCCTTATTCTGGAAGAAAATACTTTAGCTTAATTTCCCACCCACTCTGTAGCACATGGGAGTGACCCACAGCTTTGATCCCGCTGCCTCTGGTGTCTCCTCTCCTCGTTTTAATGCTTAAAACGAAAACCCAACTGAGACATTGGGCAAAAACGCTGGTCACAAGCTTGTGTTTTTAGTAATTGCCCATGTTTGTTTGTAAGGGATGCTCCAGTAATCAGATATGGAGCATCCTGAGCTGGCCTTGCCTCACACGATGGCTCCCAACCAAAGCAATTCCTTCCACGCTGGCTTGCTTGGCATTGCAGAGGACCTGATGGCTTTTCTGGGAATTGGCTAAAGTAGGTTATTCAAGATAAAAGGAAATGCCCCAGGGTGGCATTCCTGACCTAGGAAACCAGAGCAGGTACTTTTGCTGCCACCACCACTGCTGCTCACATGGAGAGGGGACTCGAAAGCCAGCTGTAACTGCCCAGTCTTGCCATGCAGGTGTTGGGAGTAGAGACTGCTCTGGATTTGCAGGAATGCTTAATTGCAATGAGAAGGCATAGGCATGAACTTGATCCATCTCCTAAGAGCTTCCCTTTCAGCTCAGCAGAGCACGGGAGCTGTAAAGGCAATACTTGATTTATTTCACCCCAGATTTCGTTTCTCCAAATCTAAATTATGGGAAGTGGGGAAAGAGAGGAACTTAAAAGGCAACAAAAATACTGATGGTAACATCAAATAGTGGTTCAAGTGGGAAACCAGCCTGATCATTGGTTGTACCCACCCACAGGAGGGCTGGGAGAGGCTGTTCTCCTGCTGCATTTTATATGTATATTTTTTTTTAATTATTTTATAACTTACCCAGCATTCATGTTGGCCTGGGAATCAAAAGCCATGGCAAGGTCAGAGGGTGATTTCTGCTGCCAGGCAAGGAGGATGGCAGTGTGACTCTTGGGGAGCCACTGCTCTGCACCCCCCAGGCAATCTGGGACACAGATGTCTCCAGCTGCTCTGGAGCTTGGCTGGGACATTCGGGGGCAGATCCCTGTCAGGCAGAGACTGCTGAGGGATCTGTATCCATGGGGCAGTGCAGCCAAGCTCTGTTAGCACTTACACTGGGCACTTGGTGCCAGGGGATGCCCACAAGAGCTTGACCCCGACAAAAGTGCCCCGGGAGACCAGTGAATACAGACGGGAAGAGGAAGGGACTGGGTTTGAACAGCAAAGCCCAGCTTAGCCCTGTTAACAGGCTTTCCTGCACCTCCTTTTGCTCTCCCTCTCCGAAGTGTCTCCCTGGGCCAGCCTGCATCTGTCACAGACAGAGGATTGACCAGAAGGACTGAGCTGTACTAAAGTCAGAAGCAGGAGATGCCTGCAGTGCCTCTCCCTGCCCTGCTGGGTGAGATAGACAGTGATGATGGCTGTGTCCTCCACCACAGCTCACATCCCTCAAGGATTCCCAGCTGAGGCTGTTCACCTTGGCCGTGGGAACGAACCCACAGTGTCCCTGCCAGGAATGGTCATGGAAAAGCACCTTGCCACGCTCTGCATGCTGCACTGGCAGAGGGGTGGGATGGCCTCCCGACAGGCACGAGGGCAGGCGGTGGCCTGGTGTGGCTGCTGGGCTCCCACGAGCTCAGGAGCACTCTGTGAGTGAGCACTGACAGTGCCTGCTCTTAGGGGGTCCTCGAAGCTCTTCTGAGTGAGGGAGGTCAGATCTGCCCCCACACTCTGCCCATCAGTGAATCCATCCCAAGATAATCCCGTGCAGCTGGAAGATCATGCCACTCTTTGACAAAAATCCCCTCTAGTAGGAATAGAGAAGCTGTGGCTGCCCCATCCCTGGAAGTGTTCCAGGCCTGCTTGGAAGGGGCTTGGAGCAACCTGGTCTAGTGGAAGGTGTCTCTGCCCGTGGCAGGGGAGTGGAACTGGGTGGCCTTTAAGGTTCCATCCAACCCAAACCATTCCATGATTCCGTTAACAGCAACAGCTTTCCCTCTGGCTGGTGGTTCCCCATGCCCTGTGAGGGTTTGCCCTGTCTCACAGCAGATGTCCCCAAAGACTTTGTGATCAACACATTGCCTTGACCAGCAGGAAGGGAGCTTGAGGGTTTCATTGGAGGGTGAAGCAGGGAGTGCTGGGGTCAGATGAGCCCCCACTGCTCTTTGGGAGGGGCTGTGTCTGGGCTGAGTCCTGACAGTGCCTGGCAGGAGTGGCTGAGCCCGGGGCTGCACGGTGTTAGATCTGACATCCAGGAGCATCCAGGGACCTCCCAGCCCAGGGCTGTCCCCATCACATCTCCTCCTGTGCACCCAAAACCCCACAGCCCAGACCTGTGGTGGAGATGCAGCACAAAGGGGCTGCAGGGGCCTGTTCAGCCCGACCCTGTGTCTGAGCACACTGACAGTAACGTCGTGTGCAGGATGAGCTGAGTCCAAGCACGGGGAGCAGCAGGGATGTAGAGAACTCCTGTGCCCAGCTTTGGTGTCCTCTGGCCCTGCTTCTCCTCCCAGTTAGGGGCACTAATGCCCCTAATCTTGCATTTTCTGTGGTGAATTTCCCTTAGTTGGTGTTCAGCCTGCAGCTTGAGGATTTCTCAGCAAGCTGCTACTTTTCTGTGATGGAATTAGTGACAGTGGGTACAGCAATAGCAAGTAATTATTCAGTGACCTAGAAATGACCTTTAGATTTTAAAAATCCCTGGTTTTACCCAGGGCCAAAAGTTCATGAACCTAAAGGAGCTTCTGGAGCGCCAAGATTTGGGCAATAGCAAAGCACTTGGAAAGGAGCAGCACTGGGAAGTCTCTCAGTGAGTGAACAATCCTGAGTTCTGCTGGTGTCCCAGCCTCCCAGGGCCATGATGTCCCTATCCAAGTGCTAAGACACAAGGATCCCTGGCATAGACTGTGCAGCCCCTGGCTGGAAAAGCAGCCCAGCCATGGCTTTTTGGGAAGTGGGAGGGATTACCCAGTCCAGCTCCCAAACCAGCTATGGGCACATGGCCATCAGATGTGGGACTGCTTGTGGGAACATCTGGCCACCACCACTGCCCATCCCAGGACATTTGTGTCAGTCTTAAGGCCACCAAACCTCACTGCCAACGTGCTGGCACAAAGCTGGCACCACCCTTGGCCCCAGCAGGAGACACCACAAGGAACAGGCAGGACTTTCTCAGCTCCAACTCATGGCCTGCCTCCAGTGCCGTTGGACTGGGAATGGGCTGGGCAGGGTCTCCTGAGCCCTGCTGTCCTTCATGCAGACTCACTGCCTACAACATGGTCTTCTGCCCTGGTTTTGGATGTGGGATGCTGATGAGCCTCTTGGGAGATCCCACATGCTACCCAAGCTCCTCTAAGGAGGAGATGAACCTTGGACTGGGGAACCAGTGACCTCTGAGCCTTGTAGTTGTTCAGCCCCTACTGAAGGAGAAATCTGTCTCCTAGGAATGGCTCAGGAAGCCAGGTGAAG